CTTCATCAGAAAAGGTCTTTTCTGATGAAGGGTCTAGGCCCGAAACGTCAGCCTCTCTGCTCCTATGATGCTGCTTGGCCTGCTGTGTTCATCCAGCCCTGCACCTTGTTGTCTCGGATTCACCAGCATCTGCAGTTCCTACTATCTCACCCCACATTTGAATAACACTTGCTCTTAACATTCTGTCATGATTCACTGGGGTATCATATTGGAAATCAAGCTCTGTTTTACACAAATTCATCACAAAAGTTAAAGATTTTAAAACAAATTCACAAATTTCCTCAATTTTTTCATTTTCAGACCCAGGTTGATAGATTTTTGAACTTCGCAAGTATTTACTACAAATAGTTAGATTCTAGCTGTAGATAAACAATCATACACTATCGGCATATAACACTACTAATGAAAACTCTAATCCCCTTAGAAATTTCCCTTTACACAAACACAGACAGAAAAATGTATACATCGACGCAGGGGCAAAACATTAGTCTTTGTCCACAAATTCTGTTGAGTTTGTTCTTGCTGATCCAGATGTGTCTTCCTAGCTACTCTTTTCCGAATGCTTCCACTGGTTTGCAAGAGGCACAGGATGACTGGTTCACTTGCAAATGACTTTGATTTATCAATTAAAATTCACAGATTACAAGGTTTCTTCAGTTTTGACTACAGAGAATAGAGAGACAGCTTCTGAGCTGATGGAAATCAAAACACTACCATATCTAGTTCCCAGCCCCTCGTTGTTCAGGTACCTCACGACTAATCATATAGCTACTGGCAGGCAAAACGCCTTTGGAATTGACAACTGGTCATTAATCCATAGATCAATCAACATCTTGTCGTCCCTCAGCCGCATCCATACACAACCCCTTGGCTCCTATTCGGCTATAACCATTTCAATTACTGGTTTGTCAAAAAAGTTATTTATGATGCTTGCCACAATTTTTAAAAGCACAAAATGAAAAGACTCTCTTTCAATCCCAAATATGCTACAGGTAGATATTTCCCCCCTCAATCAATTTTCCAAAAAAACAGACCAACTAATTAATTGAGGAACCATAATGAAGTGGCTCACTGAATAACTAACTATATAATTAATCCAATTCTCCCTGCTCATCCTCCATATACCAAATTTCCCAAAGCAAATGTTTCTCTTTTCAAATATTAATACAATTCCCTTCTGGAACAGTTTTTTTCTGAAGAAGGGTCTCGCCCCGAAACGTTAGCTTTCCTGCTCCTCTGATGGTGTTTGGCCTTCTTTGTTCATCCAGCTCTACACCTTGTTACCACAGTATCTGCCACCATCCATTCAGGCAGCACATTCCAAATCATAACAACCGCAGTATAAAATTGGACTCATTTCCTTCAGGTTCTTCTGCAATTTACTTTACATCTGTGCCTTTTCCTGCTAGTGGAAACAGTTTCATGCTATCAAAACAAGCTTGATGCAGATATTGTTTTAGGGGTGGGATCTTGCTGTGCATGTAACTAGTCATAAGCAAGGTACGTTGATACTGCCAACACTTCCAAACTGACCATGCCAGCCTGCAATAAAAATTCAGTAAGCACTTACAAATGCTACATACTGAAATGCCTTATCTCTGACTGTCTCAAAATAGAGGTCCAGTACGAACAGAATGCTCATTTCCAAGTATGACTGTTTTCTTTTTACTGGCTTTACCCATTGGAGGATTAGAAGTGTTAGGGTAGCCATTAGCTTACATCCTTGACAATGGCATTGAACAGGGGTGCTGGTAAGGAACCAAACCCAACTGAAACCAAAGATGGCGTGAAAAACCAGAGAAAATCACACAACAGTTCTCAACCTCAAACAAAACAAACAAGTTTTGGTTTAAAAAGCTTGTTGACTTCAATTTGACTCCAAAGGCTTTCTTAAAACACGTGAAGAAAAACTTTTCTGTTTGTTATATGCTGCCAAAATGAAATAAAGATACCTACCGGGCGGTGAAGTTTTAGTATGTTCATTGTGTTTTTTTTTTCTATTTTGTACAACTGCTGGAGGATTTGAAACTGGTTGTGGGGTTTTGGCAGGTTTGTTCTGTCAGCTATAGGAGAGGGGGTGTGGTGTAGCAACTGTTGCCTGCAGTGGATGCCCAGCTAACCCTCCCTGTCCAATTTCAATGGTCCACCAGAAGCTAATGGTCCTGGAAGGATTACAGAAGGCGGTTTGATGCCAACTGGCAAATGGAAAAAAATCCGCGGTTAACCGCTCTCGTGACTCTGCGAGGTTGAGGGGAGGGTAGTTCGCCCTGCTCGGTCCGTCCTTGACGTAGGTGGGGGGAGCGGGGCCTCTCCCAATACGCCCTTGTGATTGGCGACTTGCCGCAAATGGCCCCGCTTTCCCGCCTTCCGAATTCAACGGACGGCCGTTAGCCGCGCGTGGCCGCCGGGCGCCATTTTATTTTTCGCGACTCATCGTCGAAGACCGACACCACACTCACCTTTCCCCATCCGCACCGTTAGTCCCTACCATCTTTCATACTTCATCAATGAATAAATCGACCCACGCGTCAAACAAAACAATTCCTTCTAATAGGAAAAACCCGTTTACTTCTTATTTTCCGTGAACCCGCCCCAAGGGTTTTCGTTTCAAACAACACAGAAAAATCTGGAGAAACTCAGCAGGTAATATTGCTAGACTGTTAACCCAGAGACCAGCCAATGTTCTAGGTAGCAAAAACAAGTTGCCGGAGAAACGCAACAGGGTCACAATCAAAAGAACAAAGGAGAAGTACAGCACAGGAACAGGCCCTTCGGCCATCATGCGCTAATAACTAAAAAACAAATCTTCTGCCCTTACTCATTCCGTATGCCTTTGTTCCTTCTCTGTTCATGTAATCATCCAGATGCCTCTTAAATGTTGCCAAGGTGCCTTTCACCACCCTCCAGTCTCCTGCCACACTTCATGAAAAACTTCACTCGCACATCTTCCTTAAACATTACCCCTCCCACATTGAACCTGTGCTTAATTGAAACTTAAACCCTCAGAAAAAGCCTCTGATTATCCTCTCTATCTATATCATAATTTTGTAGACTTCTATCAGGTCTTCTCTCAGCTGCTGCCTTTCCAGTGGAAACAATCCTAGTCTTGTTAACCTTTCCTCATAGCCAATGCCCTCTAGACCAGGCAACATCCTGCTGAATCTTCTCTGCATTCTCTCCAAAGTTTTCACGTCCTTCTAGTAGTGTGGCAAGCAAAACTGCACACAATATTCCAAATACCGTCTAACAAGGTTTTTATATAGCTGCAACATGGTTTGCCAACTCTTGTACTTCATGCCCTGACCGATGAAGGCAAACATGCCAAGTGCCTTCTTAATCACCTTGGCCAACTGTGTTGCCACTTCTGGGGAACTGTGGACATGAGTGCCCAGATCCATCTGTATGTTAATTTCCTAAGGATTCTGCCATTTACAGTATAATTCACACCTAAATTTGATCCTCCAAAATATATCACCTTGCATTTGTCTGGATTAAATTCCTTCTGCCATTTCTGTGCCCAAGTTGCCAATCTATCTATATCCTGTTGTATCCTTTCACAACCGTCGACACAATCAGCAACTCCAGCAATTTTTGTGTAATCTGCAAACTTACTAATCAGACCACCCATATTTTCCTCCGGATCATTTATATAAAATACGAACAACAGAGGACATAAGACTGATCGCTGTGGAACACTAGTAATTACTGGTCTCCACCACTAGCCTCTCACACCCTTCCACCGCTAGCCTCTGTCTTCTATGACCAAGCCAGTTATGTATCCGTCCAGCCAGCCCACCCTGAATCCCACGTGATTTTAGTTTTTGTATCAATCCGCCATGTGGGATTTTATCAAATGCCTTACTAAAGTCCATATAAATTACATTCACAGCCCTTCCCTCATTAATTATCTTTGTCACCTCTTCAAAAAATACAATCAGGTTAGTGAGACAGGACCTATCCTATTCAAAATTATGCTGCTTGTCATTAACTAGGCCATTTAATTCGAAATGTGCATATATCTTGTCCCTCTGTAACCTCTCCAAGAGCATCCTCACCACAGACGTCAGGCTCACTGGCCTATGATTTCCTGGATTATCCCTGCTTCCTTTCTTAAACAAGGAAACAACATTGGATAATCTCCAGTCCTGTGGAAACTCACCTGTGATGAAAGAGGATGTGAAGATGCTAATGCCCCAGCTATTTCCTCCTTTGCCCTTCGCAGAAACCTGGGATAGATCCCATATGGCCCTGGGGACTTGTCTACCTTAATGGAACTCCCTCCCTAAGAGTATTATGGGTCAACCTACAGCATGTGGACTCTGAAATAACCCCACAAAAGCCGGTATCCTGTCACCAATTCACCCTTTATTCACATGTGACAAGCCCTTGACACTGATCCAGCTTCCTCAGAGTCAGCTCTCAAAGTGAATGGGATGTCTTGACATTTCTGTTCTCATCTGTCAGCCAGGGCTTCATAATGGGACCAGATTAACAGCCCCAATCAGGGACTCGTACTCTGATGAGGTCCAGCTGGCTGACTTTGTTACCATCACTACAGACTCCAGAGGTTTCAAGAAGGCAGATTACCACCACTTTCTCAAGGGCATCTAAGGACAGGCAATAAATATTGGACACCCAGGTCTGAAATGATGAAGGGTCATTAACCCTATCGAAATGTTAACTCTGCTTTCTCTCCACAGATGTTGCCAGACCTGCTAAGTTTATTGATAGTGGTGGATTTAGTGATGGTAATGCCATTGAATGTCAAGAGACAGTGGTTACATTGTCTCTTATTGGAGATGGTCATTGCCTGGCACTTGTGTGGTTTGGATTTTACTTGCCACTTGTCAGCTGAAGCCTGGATTTTGTCCAGATCTTGTTGCATTTGAAGATTGAATCCTCCAATATCTGAGAAGTCACGAATGGTGCTGAACTTTGTGCAATCATTGGCAAACATCCCCCCTTCTGACCTTATGATGGAGAGAAGATCATTGATGAGCAGCTGATGATGATGTTTGGGCCAAGGACACTACCCTGAGGAACTCATAGAATCCCTATGTGCAGAAGCAGGCCATTTGGCCCACTAAGTACATACCAACGCTCTGAACAGCATCCCACCCAGACTTCCAACATATCCCTGCATTTCCCATGGCCAGTCCACCTAACCTGCACCTCTTTGGACAGTGTGAGGAAATTGGAGCACCCACAAGAAACCAATGCAGACACAGGGTGAATGTGCAAGCTCAACCCAGATAGTCGCTCAAGGGCAGAATCAAACCCCAGTTCCTGGCGCTGTGAGGCAGCAGTGCTAACCACTGAGCCACCATGCTGCCCCTACTACAGAGATCTCCTGAAGCTGAGATGACTGACTTCCAATACTCATAACCATCTTCCTGTATGGCAGTTGTGATTCCAATCAGTGCAGAGTTTGTCCCTTGATTCCCATTGATTTCTGTTTTGCTAGGGATCCTTGATGCTACGTTTAGTCTAATGCAGCCTTACTGTCAGAGACTGTCACTCTCACCTCACCTCTGGAATACAACTCTTTTGTCTATTTTGAACCAAGCCTGCAACGAGGTCAGGAGCTGAGTGGCCATATTGGATTTGTCTTGCTTTGTGTGAACAGGATGTACCTAGGCAATTTTCCACATTGTCAGGTAGATGCCAGTGTTGTAGCTGTATTAGAACAGCTTGGCTAGGAGTGCAGTAAGTTCTGGAGGTTAAGTCTTCAGTAATATTGCTGTAATGTTGTCAGGGCCCACAGTCTCGGAAGCTTCTTTTGAATCACTCCAAGATACTATTTGGAATGGAACAATTCAGCATGAAGAGAGAATGGATAGGCTGATGTTTTGTTTCGAGCAAAGAAAGCTGGGGGAGGGATCTGATTGAGGTGTACAAAGTTATGAGGGGCGTAGATAGAGAGAAATGTTTCTTGCTTGTAGAAGGACTGATAACCAGGGGCACAATTTTAAGGTAAGATGCAGGAGAGATAGAGGGGATTTGAGGAAGCATTTTTTTAACCTAGAGAGTGGTGATCATATGGAACTCACTGCCTGAAAGAATGGTAGAGGCAGGAACCCTCAAGACATATAAGGACAATTTGGATGAACAGTTGAAACATCGTAGTATACAAGGCTACAGACCAAGAACTGGAAATAGATTAAAATACATAGATGCTTGATGGACATGATTGGTCAAAAGGCTTCTTTCTGTGCCATAAAAATTCAGACTCTTTTTGCTACTGGTTGCAAGAAAGCAGAATTTTCCCAGCACTATCTTTTTTGCTTTACATAAATATTTGATCATTTAATGCAAAACTAGAAAGTGCTAGAGAAACCCAGAAGATCTGGAGAGAAAAACAGAGCTGAGATGGAATTAAAACATTGCTCTTCAACTGTTAACTCTGTTTTTCTTTCCACAGCTGCTGCCAGACCTGCTGAACTTTCACGGCACTTTCTGCATTTATATCACATTTACAGCATCTGTAGCAGTTTGCTTTAATTTGCTTCATTTAGATTCACAGAAACCTGCTGCAAAGTAGAAAGTCACTCAACTCAACAAGCCCGTGCTGCCTCTATGAAAAAGTTTTCCAATTAGTCCTAAATTAGGTCAGGAAGCATCTGTGGAAAGAGAAACAGAGTTAATCTTTCAGGTCAACAACCTTTTCGTCATATTAACATTAACTCACTTTCTCTCTTCATAAATGCTTTTTGGCCTTCTGAAAAAGAAATGATCTGAGGAAGAGTCATATCTGATTTGAAATGTTAACTCCGTTTCTCTTTACAGATGCTGCCAGAGTTTCTGCAGCATTTGCTGTGTTTGCTCCCTGGCCTGGCAACTATTTCCTGTATTCTTTGTATCTGTTTCAGGTAATATCTGGTCGTGACTTTGTTTCTGACTTTGAAGTACCTTGGGGGAAAAGCTGCAACCAAGGCGTAAGAATCTCACCGACATTCTGTGATGGGAGAAGCCCACATCCATTGGACAGAAGTACTCCCATAAAATGTCAAGCCAGTATCCAGAGCTGATATTCTGGACTTTGCTCATTGGGATTGTCTAGAGTTGACCCTGGTAGGTGGAGAATTGGATTTTTTTTTTAATGATCTCAGATTGCTTTGCTTTGATTGACTTCTGGGATTGGCACTAATTTCCTTTATTTATCTCTCCTGGAGTGGGCTACAGTTTTTCCTTTGCTTAACTCCACCCAAAAAAAACTTGCCATTGT